TTTGGTCATGATCATGCAATGCAAACAAAAGAAAATAATTTAAACAAATTAGAGCAAAAATAACATACATGGGAAAATAAGAAAAAATAAAATGGTTAATACCAACTAATTGAAAGAAAAATTTATTTATCATGGTATATAATAAATCCTAACCTCATGCTTTTTAGTTCCATGCTTTGTTTGGAAAAATTAACCTAACCGCATGATTTCTAGTTCGCATGCATTTATTCAGGGAGAAAAAATAATAATAAATTAAATAAATTAAAAGCTAGAGCTTATTTCTCCTTGGTGTACACCTATGAATAGAGGTTCAGTACTGTCTTAGATTAGGTGAATTTCTAGGGTTTATTATATGCAGAGTTTCAGTTCTAAGAGTAAAGGTACTCGAATTGTCCTTGTTGATGCCCCCTTGGGTTGTCAACCCTCAATCCTAGTCCATTACAGACTTAAACGGATCGAGTTCAATTCGAGGGGACACATTTCTCTATACCTGACACGGAGAATAAATTCTCACGAAGACATAGAGCATATGAACCCCAAAAGTTACTTTCTAGGTCTGACACGGAGAATAAATTCTCACGAAGACGTCGCTTTCACTCCCACTTAAAAGGGACAAGCTCAATTATAGAGCTTTATGTTATGCAATGCAAGTGTTGTGTGTGAGGAGAAATATTCAAACCTCTAACAGATAAATAAAATAATTAATACATGAATAAAAAAACAATATTAATATAAAAATAATGAATAATAAAAATTTAAAAGAAAAGAATTAAAAATTAAATAAATGAATTTTTAATTTCTAATTAATAGAGACAATTTATAATTGATTTTAAAGTTTGACAATTCCCCAGCGGAGTCGCCAAGCTGTCGTAACCGGTTTTCGTCCGGGCACGAAATATTTTACTTGGCGGGAAAAATGATGTGAATAAATATTTTTTTATAAATAATTTGGAGTCGCCATCGGCCTTTTGGGTCAGGTAGGTCGAATACCTAAAAATCATCTTTTAAAAGAGTTTTTAAGAAAACATCAGTTAAAAGATAAACTGATCTGCGTTTAACCAAAAATTCATTCTTTTTTATTAATAAAAAGGGATTCGTGGTCGGTTACGTTTAGGGAAGGATTAGCACCCCTACAACGCCCAAAATTGGTACTTTTTAATTATAAATTGTCTCTATTATTGGAAATTTAAAAATTCAAAGACATATTTAATTCATAATTCTATTGTTTCAAATAATTTTAAGAAAATATATTAATATACATAAATAATATATTTACTTATTTAGAAATATCAGAAAAAGGGCTTCTAGGTGCTTTAAGACAGCTCTTTTCTTTAATATTTAAAAATAAATATCAAAAACCTTTTATTTTAATATAGTAAGATATTTATTTATTCAAAAATATCAGAAAAGAGCTTTTAGGTACCTTAAGACAACTTTTTTCTTTGATATTAAAAATAAATAAATATCAAAATATGATTATTTTTCTTAAAAGTAATTTATAAAATTAAATTTATAAATAGGAAAATAGAATAAAGAAATAAATATTTATATATATTTATAAGACTATATATATTGACATAATTAATAAAGAATAATAATAATAATAGCAATGATAATTAAATATATATGAACATAAATATATAAAGGTAACATATGATTAAATAATGTTTAAAATACAATTAAAACATGGTATAAAAATAATAAAGAATAATAAAGCTTGTAAATGAAAATATTAAACTTAGGGACTAAATTATAATCTAATAAAATTAAATACCTAATTCATAATTAATTATTTAAAATTATAGGGATTAAACATGCTATTTTCCTTATTTATTAATTTGGTGACTAAAATAAAATTATAAAAAATCTGAATATCAGATTAAAATAAATTAAAAATATATATACTCGGGATTAAAATATTATTAATTAAAACTAAAGGACTAAATACGTATTTATCCTAAATATATTATTTAATAGAAAGGACTAAAATAAATAAATCTAAAATTAAAGAACCAAATTAAAAAGATTATAAATTGATTTAGTGACTAAAATGTAAAGTTACAAAAATGATGGACTGCAGATGGGGTTTATCCATATGTGAAATTACAGATATACCCCTTCCCCAAAACGGCATCATTTGGGGAAGGGTTTATAAACCCCTCAAGGCCGGCCCTTAAGGGCCAGCTTCTCACTTTCATCCTTCCTCTTCTCTCTCTAGCTGAGAGAGAAGAGAAACTCTCTCGTCTCTCTCTAATTTTCTGTCGCCGGCCGGTCACCACCAACGGCGTCGATCACCACCGCCGGCCGCCACTGCTGGTGGCCGAAATCTCAAATTACCCTAGAGTGTAGATCTCGACTTCCTAAGGCCGAATATGGCCTTCATTTGTCCTAAAACGCTTTAGATCATTCTAGATCTAAAATAAATCGAAGGTTTTACCTTCGGTTTTACAACGATTCCGGTGGTTCCAAACGGTTTGGAGGCTTTTATGATGGTAAGATGCTCCTTTCCCTCTTCTTTTTGTCGATTTGTTCTCGTATTCTGCTCTCTGTTTGGTTCACTGTTCTTGCCGTGGTTTTTTTTTTTTTGTTTGTGTGTTGGTTGCCTATCTATTTTTTTTGTTATCTCCGATTCTTCCTCCTCTCTTTCTTTTTTTTTATCTTGCAGGTGATGGTTGTTTTATAGCCTCGTCGGAGCTTGTCTCGGACCGGTCTCAAGAGTGGATTTCGGTGAGTCACCAAACTGTGTGGTGACTCACCCTTGGGTATCGACGTGTGGGGGGCAGCTGGCTTCTGGAAAGCTCGACGAGGCCGGCGTCGTGGAAGCAGCAGCGTCGGCAGCAACTGGTTGGACCATCTGGAACTGAAGCGTCGGCAAGGCAGCTGGAGGCAGTGGTGGCGCCGCGTGGATGTTCTTGAAGCTTGGAGGTGGCGGCCGGGATATAAACCTAGGGTTGTGAAACCCTAGGGCTTCTGGGAGTTGGGCCAGAGTTGTAATCAGGCCCCGATCTTGGGCCTTTGTATATATATATATATATATTTATTTAATAATAATAATATATAATAATAATAATAATAATAATAATAATAATAAGAAAAAAATTAGTGTTTACAGGGACTAACATGCTTTTACCTATGGACCATTAGAGGTGGGGCTAGGCATGCGCAATGTGCGCGATAGAATATGGCTCCGGAATAATAAAGGCCCCAAACAGTTCACAATGAAGTTATTGGTATTACCGTAGATGATTAAACTATAAAAAAATAGCTCAAAAAACTTTGTTAGAAGGAAGATAAGTGAAATACCAATAATTAATATTATGCTACAGCTGTAAAGTTTATCTCATTTTTTTTGGGTCTAATTCACTTTACGAAAAATGGTCTATTTTTAAGAATTTGCACATGACCTCCAACGTCTTAACCCCAACCCTGTGGACCAGCTCCTGTATATGGTATACGTGTTACAACATATGATATATGTCTTATAATATAGATAATGATAGAAAAAATGAAAACAAAAGTGCCAAAGAGACGATTCAAACATGTGTAATGGACCAAGTGATCTCTTTTTAACATTTTTGTTTCCATTTTTTTGGTATTACCTATAATATGATATATGTATATGTATATATATATATATCATATTATATGTTGTTAATTATATATCAAATACACATGTCACCATATCATTGAAGGATTAAATTTATTAAATTAATTTAAAATGAATACCAAATTGATATAAAATATAAGTAATGATGATTAAATATGTAATTATATCAATTTTATTAACTTTATACTCGTACATCACATGTTAATTGCATATGACTTGATTAAAATAATTTTAATAGCAAAATGATATGATAAAAAAAATTGCAAGATCGATAATTAAATTAAAATCCATATAATCAAGTGGTCATGAATGTAGTTTTGGTAATATTATAAAACATTAACATTTACTAATGAGATTTTTAGGCTTAAGTTAAGAATAAGTGTCCAAACTATATCTCTTATTCACTTTAGATATCTAAAGTTTTTGTTTACAAAGTAGATACTTAACGTTTTCTCCGCTACCGTTTTAAATGTATGGTTCATTATGGTTTTGCAACGAATTTGTTAACCACTCAAAACATGACACGTCTCGTATTTATTTTTTGAAATTTTTATTTTTCAAGCAACTTTAAAATATGAATTTAAAAAATCCCTAAATTTATCTAAAATCTAAAATCTAAAAATAAATTTCTCAATATTATGAAATTCTTAATTTCAAACACCATTATCATCGTTGGCGATCGTGTTTGTCGTCAAACAGTCATCCGGCGATCACCATTTATCTACTAACCAATCATCGTTCTTGATATCTCACACCCATCAATTATTTATTTGTTAAAAGTTAGTGTGCACGATGAAAACAATTGTGTTTTCTTCGCACATAGGGTCAGCCCCATATCCAAATGACTCGGACCTTGGAAAGCAACGAAGCTTTCTTTGCACGTAGGGTTACCTTCCAAATGACCCTAAATACAAGTTTCAAGCTACGATAAATGACATAAATAGTTGACAAGGGAGATTAAGGGGAAGAACTAGAAATTTGGGTATTGAGAAGTTTAGAGATTTAAATTTAGAGAATTTGGACGACAATAAGGACGATGGTCGGTCAGTGATGACCAATCGCCAACAATGGTCGATGGTAGTAGTAATAAGGGTTGGAATTAGATATTCTAGAAAAAATAAATTTAAAAAAATAAAAATAATTTTATTTTTAAATAAAATTTTCAATATTTTTTAAATTATATCGTGCTATGTTTTGAATAATTGATGAAATTTTTTAGTATCCGTTAAAGGTCAAACACCTTAAACGATAATGGAGAAAATTTTAGGTACCTAAAATAAATAATAGATATAGTTCATACACTTATTTGCTAATTAAGCCAAATTTTTATTTTGGGTCAGGTCTAAATCTTCCTGTCATATAATCAGTACCCTAAGAAAACAGTGGTCCGTAATTATCCACTCATTTCCCCCCTCTCACTCCACCTTCCAATCCTGGCAATGGATGATGTCCATAGCTGAAAAACAAACCAATTTTTAGATAATTGAAAGCAATAATGTCTTTCTTCAAATCGGTGGCGGCAAATTCCTCTGTTTTCACTCCCAGGGAAGCCACAATGGCCATGAGACAATCTTCTCCTTATAGAGTACGTGGCTTCTCTAACTGTTCTTTGTGGCACACAACGTGTTCGATAAAATACCATGCAGATTGCAAATGGTTCTTTTTGGTCACCGAGTCATTGTTTTCCCCCTTTTTCTTTTACCGCCAGTTGCAAACAAATGATGCATCACTCTTTTGTTGACTAAGCTGTTGCTTCATTAATATTTGGTAACCAGAAAGAGTGTTGTTTGCATGCGAATTCTGATAAAAGAACCTTATTGCATCTTTTAAGGTGCCGTTACTGATCAGTTTTTTTAGTATTACAATGAACTTTGGTCTCCTTTTATTTTTAGTTTAACTTCGCCTTATATGTGTAAAATTTCCGAAGTTGGTTTCCCTTGGGATCATTCTTCCTGACAACTATTCTTTGGTTATGGAAACCTACTTCGGTATAAAGGAATAAAGCGTTACAATTCTATTATAAATAACAAAATTCATGTTCAAAGGGTACTGTTTGAAAGACCTGTTTTGCAACAAAGTATGTTTCTTTTTAGTTGCTTGCAGCTTCCCATCGAATAAATTGCCGGCCAAATTCATTTGGAGTATTGATTACCTTTTTGAAGCTAAGGATCTCCAAAAATAAACTTCTTTGCTATAATATGACCCATTCTTATTAATTAGTTTAACTTCCTTTTGATGCCCTATGCCAATTGCTCTATTATTGCAAAACTGACGCAAGAGCTTTATTGTTATGTTATTTTATTACTTTAGTCTTATTTATTGATTAGTAATATGACCCATTCTTGTTAATTTATATAACTACCTAAGGCAGTAGCTTTAATGTTATGTTGTTTTATACTTTAGTCTTATTTACTATTTATTAGGCATATAAATATAGGACTAAGAATATATAAGTTATTTTGAAGGTTTAAGTCTATGCTAAGATCACTATACCAATGAGAGCTTGCCTTAATGGCAAGGTGTAGGCCTTGGGAACTTTGAGATCCTAACTTCAAATCCCTCCATGTGTGAGTTTAATCTAGATTTATTTTGATGAGTTAGTATGAGTTGATTTAGTTACTTAGTTCGGTGCCTGTACTGATTGCTTCTGATACATATTGATTGTAAATTTGCCGCAACTTTCTTATTATTTCTCGAATTAATAGAGAGAAACTAGGGGTTTTTACTTTTTATAACCCTATGTTTTCTAGAGTTCCAGCTTCTTCTTGCTTGTTTGTTCAGTCCTAATTCTTTTGATTTAATATATTTTATAGAGTTCCATCTTCGTTGTTACTTGTTTCTTCAGCCCTAATTCTATTGATTTAGTTTAATTTTTCCCTAAACCACACAAAAGCGATCAATGAAGAGATTGTGTAATCTGACTAGATTCACATTTTCCTCTTAGTTGCTTTGGAAAGGTTGCATTTAGGCCTTTTCCTGTACCACTTGTTTACCTTGTAAGATGCTTGGTGTTTCTGTCATGTTTTTTTCTTATTTTCCAAACTTTTGAAATTAGAAAAACTGCAAAATGGTGCAGTTCTTGTTGGTTGCTTTTGTTTTACAATAAAATGAGTTAAGTTTCTGCACTAATAGTAGTATACTATATGCATACAGGTATTTTCACAGAGAGCTAATTCATCTCTTAGGAAAACCACCTCTGTTAACTTACTTTATATCAGAGGAAGCTCTTCAGTTAGAGTGTTCTCTTTCTTAAATATTGCATGCTATTCAAGTTATTCTGGAGATGAATTTTATTCTTCTTCAAAGAGAAGATCTCGAGGACCTGTTATGGCTGCAAAGAAAGCATCTCAAGGTTAGGTTCATCATACTGTTTTCTTTAATGGAAGATGTTAACGAGTTAATTTAATCGTGGTTGTTAACTAATCTATTTGTTCACCAACTACTTTCCATTTCTCTCCCCTAGCCCCCCTCAACTCTGGCGCACACAGGTAATCTAAATGTGCTATCAGATGCTTTTATTCACTTTTAGATTTTTAACTATTTAGCTTGTTTATTAACATCCAGGACAAAAGGAAGAAGAAGGAAGGTACAAGCATACTGTTGATTTGCCAAAGACGGCATTCAGCATGAGAGCTAATGCGTTGACGAGGGAACCTGAAATTCAAAAACTTTGGGATGATCATCAAGTGTTCAAGACAGTTGTTGATAAAAATGACGGGGTAGGTTTACTATACACTTGCTCCCATGTTTATGTATATGGGTTAGTTATCTTAGGTTTAATTTCTTTTCAGGGAAATTTTGTCCTTCATGATGGCCCTCCATATGCGAATGGGGATCTACACATGGGTCATGCATTAAATAAGATATTAAAGGATATAATTAATCGTTACAAGGTAGGTATTCTGGCTTATTTACTTTGGAAATCTAATTTGTTGCCCTTGAATTTGGATTTACGGGCTCTTTTCCTCTGTTGTGAGATGCACAAGATCATAAGAGCTAGAAAAAGAGGGAATTTGAGTCCGTTTTGAATTGTTTTTGTTCACAATCATCACACTTGATTGAAAACATATTGCCCAAACAAAGACTTAGCTTTTACTACCTTTAATGTGTTGTTTGCAATCATAAAAGCATGTGGAGACCTCCATTGTGGTTGTGCTTGCTTTTAATCGCAATCACAATGCTAAATTGGGCCTGACTCAAATTGTTAATTATAACTTTTCTGTAGCATTCCCTTAATTTTTTTTCCATAGCATGACCTGCATTAAAATTAAACCCATGTTGGTAAATACTATTATAAATATGCAGATACTAATTATTCTTATTTTTCTAGGATTACTCAAAATGTTAAACTTAGGAACATGGCATTTGGATGAAGTAAAAGACAATAATCACACTGATTGCTTAGCTAGAATCAAGTGAAGCCTCTATGGTCCATAAATATTCTCATTCCAGCAAATATAATGGAAAAGATAAGGAGCTTGAGATTGAAGCTCAGTTAAAACTGTTAAGAACTGTAGTAATAATTGTGAAGGACACTTTTCCTTGGATTGTGGAAACCTATTTATTGTTACAGAACACTCTTGCTACAAATATCTTCCTGATCTATGGCCTTCTGAGGTAATTTAAATTGTCTATTATCTAGATCTAGTGATTTGCTTACAGCTTATTATGGAGCATAATACAATAACTTTGATTCAAGTTATGTTTATACAGTCTTCAAGTTTCTGTATATGCGATATCTTTCTAACCGACATAGTTTTGTTTAGTATTGGCCCAAATTGTTGGTTATCAGATGATAAACACACTTTATGTTGCAGTGATGGCATCATATGAATAGTAGTTGCTATAATTTATTTTGATCATACCCTATCCTTTTTCTTCTTTTCAAGTTCCTTATTTCTTCTTCTTGGAAATTTAAATCAAGTGGCCTTCATCTGTTTTTATTTTGTTCTTTATTTGAACAGCTTCTTCAAAATTATAAAGTTCATTTTGTGCCTGGATGGGATTGTCATGGTCTACCAATTGAGTTGAAAGGCAAGTATCACCAAGATTGCTGCTTCTGTTTATCAAGATGTGAAATGACATAAAGTGATACTTATTTCAATGCTATTGAAAAAGATGCTCCTAGAAATTCTAGAAAAGTATTTGTATAAATTTAGAATTGTTATTGATGATATCTAGAGGTGGCACTTTTGCGGGTTGAATTCAGGTTAGGTCATTTAAGGCATATTAATTACGAGTTCATGTCATTTAGGTTTGTCATTTTTTTATTCAAGTCGTCTTAGAATCCATTTCAGGTTTCATACTTCGCTACGGGTCAATTTGTGTTCATTTTGTTAACTTTTTACAGCATATCAGATTGGTTTTGGACAAATTAAGTTCAAATTTATCAGTGGTATTTAGTGAGAGAAGCTGGTCACTACCGTCATCCATCATTAGCCTTCCACCGTCCGTCGCTTGTCGTCTGCCATCCTCTGACCACCGTCCACCGCCGCACTCTGACCTCCTTTTGACGCTATTTTTCTCAAGGATCTTCGTCTACCCACAGCATTTCCTTATTCCTGGTTCTTTTTGTTAGATTCCTCTTCAATCGGAGCAAATCTACTTGCCTTTCTCCGCCGTTCTTTTCCACCAGCAGTCTTCCGAGTTTCGTTTCAACCGTTCCACTGTGCTTGCCGGAAGCTCGTGACAAAAACCCAAGTACTCTATTGTGAATACCCACTGCCGTTCAGCGGAAATCTTCTTGTGAAAAACTTATATTTCCAGATCGCCGTTGTTGGCTCTGGGTTTTCACGTACGGAGGCATATCTTCCCTAGCATTATACTTCTCTGGTTTTTTCGTTCAAATCTACATTAAAAAATGACGTCCAAGAATCGTGTGGCAGTAACAGAGGATTGACCAGAAACCTCAGCTCGTCAAACTAAAAATCGTCACCAGTCCGAGATAGAGGAAAATGAGCTCGTTAAGCCTTTGAAAAAAATCATATTTTAAGGCGAAACGGGTGGATTTTATACTGTCGAAGGCGACTGAAGCGGAGCAACTAAATCAGAGACATGGGTAGCAGACAAGGACTGTGCAGAAATCATAGGAGGCGAGGAAGAAGCTGAGTAGTGTAGTGTCAGCGGATGAATATGAGAGGATGGTGTTGGTGACAAACAAGAATAGGGATGATTCATTGATTGAAGCAAGGAGCGTGGAAGAGGCCATTGTGCAGATTTCTAAGGCGGAAATCCTACCACAGGATTCCCATGGTCTTAATCACTGGTGGAAGAAAGATTATCCAAGAATCAACAATGGGTATAGAACTGGCTGCTTTAGGTTATACATTGTTAATTTACCAGAGAAGATCCATTGGAAGCGGTTTGGATCGTTATTTTGCCCATACGGTCAGGTTATTGACGCCTTCATTCCAACAAAAAGGAATTCAAAGGGGTTTCGGTTCGATTTCATTCGCTTTGCAAAGATTGGAGAAGCCAGGAGAGCGATCTCAAAGATGAATGGCGCTCGCATTGATGGTAGTAAAATTGGAGTCTCTTTTGCCATATACAACCCAAGACATTCTTTTTGGAGAAAGTCTTTGCTTGTGGTTCACCAAAAGCATGAGAGAGAAGATGTTACAAGTAACAATCTCCATACAGTAATCGGTGTGGTCGACGAAACTAAACTTCAAGTTTTGGATAATTGCCTAATGGGGTGGTGCAAGAACTATACCAAAATAGGCGATCTTGCTAGCCAAATGCAAGACAAAGGTCTCAATGGTTTCTCTTTAATGAGAGCTGCTGGGAATGTAGTTCTCATGATATTCGAGGACTCTGCTTTGTTGAGAAGGGTTAAGAATGAACAATCAGAGAATCTTGCAGAGTGGCTTTCTAGAGTTGAAGCTTGGTCGGAGAGTCTAGTGGTTTAATGCCGTAGAGTATGGGTTGTTTACGAAGGGATTTCGTTTCACGCGTGGAATTGGGGTACGGTCAAGAACATTGCGGCTAGGTGGGGCGAATTAATATCAATTGATGAAAGCTCTCAGTTTCCTTCATCTATTGATCCTGCAAAACTTCAAATCCTCACAGAGTCTAAAGTGAGAATTGATGAGTCGTTGAGTTTGAAGGTCGACTCTAATTTATATGAAATCATCGGAGAACACTCTGTTAGGATCGTCAGTGTCATCCTCAGGTTTAAATTGCCCTGTCGAAGATGTTGCAATTGAAGGTACCCAATTAGAAGAGGTTCCACTCATAAAGAGTGTCAAAAGCGATGAGAATTCGAGTATTAAATTGGGGTTACACACAATGGAGGTTGTGGATTTTGATGGAGTTAGCCTCAGGGCCTCGGAAGATGTTCTTATGATGGGTCTCTTTACTTCTCATGGTTCATCTAGTGACGCAATTCAATTAATGGAAGACACCCCAGTGGCAATGATACTTTGATTGAAGGGAAGGAAGTGCGGTTTTGGTTCATTGAAGACATCTTATCGAGTTGATTTTTTGGTGATTTTGAATCATGTTGGTATTTTGTGGAGTTCCCTTCAGAGGCGGATGTTTTTGGTTTAATGGTTTCAGGTGCTGTTTTCTTGTGTGTTATGTCATTAACTGTTGGGATGTTTTCCTTTTGATGGAGGTTCGCTACTAATAGGTCTGTCCAGAATTGGCTCCCTACACTAGCTGATTTCTTTAAATTTAATGCCGATGGTACAGTGAAAAAGGATGGGACGGCGGGCGGCATTGGGGGTATCCTAAAAAATCATAACGGTTTCGTTTTAGCAACGTTTTCAGAAAGCTATTAGAAAGGCTGTCGACTTTTTCTACTCTGTTTGGGCTTCTAAGGGCAGATTAATTCTGGAAACTAACTGCAAGAATGCAGTGGAGTGGGTCAACTTTCCAAGTCTCTCTCCGATGTTTTTTAGTAATTTAATCAAGGAAATTAAGTCTTATGTACTGTCCAGGGGTTTGGTAGTGCAGTTTATTCCTAAGTGTAGTAATTGGGAAGCAAATAAGTTAGCTAAGGCAGGGATTGGCTAAGTATTTGCTATTTTGTAAAGGTTTTTAATGTGTGCTTCTGTTATTAATAAAATGAGGTACTCTTTTCCTCCTTCCGCTGGATGACCTTTTTCCAAAGGGTCAACTATGAAGGAGGTTTTTAATGAGAACTCCAACTTCTATAAAAAAAAAATGGAGGTTTATTTTAGGTATAGGGTGGTTGCCTCTAGATTTTTGTGGTCGAGAAGGCGAGAGTTTTAGGTGATTATGTTTCTTGTAAGTGCATTTAACCTCGTTTGAGGGTATTTCGTGGTATCATATGTAATGGGTGTTTTATTCAATGAAATATGAGGTACTCTTTTCTTCCTTCCAATGTTTGTTAACATACTTCTTAGTATGTGAACGAATACGAAGGGAGTTTTTAATGAGACCTTCAACTTCTATAATTTTTTTTTTATCAGAGGTATTCAAGTTATTTAAGATAACATTTTAATGAACTAGGGGCATGTGGATATGCATACTTCCCATTTTATGTTTTTAATACCATAAAGGTAACTTTTCTTTTCTAAAATGTAAATGTCAATGCATTATATAAAATTAAGAAGATAATAACAAATGCATTATTTTATTTTGTAAAAAAGTAATAAAAACATTTATAATGATGGAAACATTTTTCACAATTTTGATATTATCATGAAAGATAATAATGAAATTTATATTTTTTAGAAGTCCTTTAATTTCAATAAACTATTTTTCATATTTATTTATTTCTATTGCATTAATATTTTTAAAATAAAAACCTATACTTCATCAAATTTTGGCCTCAAGTTAGGCGGGTTTTGGTTTATTTTTCTTGGTCAAATCAGATTGGGGTGGTTCAAATTTCAAATTTCCACGAGCACAAGCGTTTTTGAAAAATTTTCTCTCCACCGCCATCCACCCATTGTCCGCCGACTTCGTCCGCCACCCGCCGCCGCAGTCCGCCGCCACACTCTGACCACCGTTTGGACGCCGTTTTTTAGTGGGAAGATCGCCAGATCAAGGTGTTTCCTAATCTGGGCTTGGTTTTGTGATTAAGACTTTGATTCGACGCAGATCTTCAAGCCGCTCACTGCCGTTTTTGCCTCCACCCGCCGATCGTACACTGGACATCGCATCTCCACTGTGCTCAGAGCCTCTTTGCGACCATAACCCATTATCTTAGTGTCGAGAATCGCTGCATCTCACCATGATTTTGCAGTGAGAAGTTTCGGCAAGAACAGACGTACAGACCTCCAAACCTTATGTTTTTCTCCACTGCCATCCCAGTCTTCAGACACGAAACTATTGGTGGATCTCCTCCGACACTGTTTTGAGCTATTGTTCTGGGAATTTAATTACAAAGGGTGATACGTAGACTCAGATGCTTGAATCAAATTCTGTTGATTAAGGAGGTATTTATTTCTTCTAGCCGGCAGTTATAAAAGAGGAAATAAGAAACGAGATGAGTTCCCAGGATTTTGAAGCAGGTCTTGATACCCATGCCAAAACAAAAATCCATCCAAAGGTCTGAAACAGCAAAAGCTTCTGCTTTCAAAAAGAGCGGCCAAGATAAGAGAGGAAGTATCCGAGAAACGGTTTGTAGCTGCAGCTCGCCGGACTATGACTCATCGTCAGTCCGCGATTGAGGAAAAGGAGATCGCAGAACCTTTGGATAAACTGGATAATAAGGCGAAGCGCATAGATTTTATACTGTCGAAGGCGACTGAAGCGGAGCTACAAAAGCAAAGAGATGGGCAGCAGGCAACGACATTGCAGATAGCGAAGGAAGCAAAGAAGAAGCAGAGTTGGACTGTGGCGGAGAAAGAGTTTGAGAGGATGGTGTTGGTGACTAACAAGAACAGGGATGATTCGTTGGTTGAAGCAAGGAGTGTGGATAAGACCATTGCACAGATTTCTGAGGCGGAAATCCTACAACCGGATCGCCATGATTTTAATTACTGGTGGAAGAAAGACTATCCAAAAATCAATATGGGGCATAGAACTGGCTGTTTTACGTTATACATTGATAACTTACCAGA